ACTGAGTCAGAGCAGTTAAAGTGGACTCAAGTTGCATTATTTCTGGCAATCTATAAAGGTCCAATGTTTGCTATCCAAAGCATGGTGAAATCTGAACAGTCATATTTTTTTCTCAGTGATGTATTTAGGAAATTTTAGATCCATTACTAGTGTTGGATGGGGAGGCTCTTCTCCTTAGATGGTAGTTGTATTACTCTACATATCTGAGAGCGTGGTACAGTCAGATGCATGTGGAGGCACCCTGCTCAGAGGCACCCTGAACATTTTTCTTCTTAAGGCCTGCCTTGATGACACTATTTTTGTCATTTGTTTTGTTTTGTCTTTTTGAAATCTTTTTTAACAGGAAGGGCCTCAGGAAACCCAGCTTTTTAGCTGAATTTAGCTGTGTGCTGAATTTTTGTTAGAGAATATCCCTGGCAGCTTGGCTAATCTATCTGTAAATGCCTCACTGACCTCCTTAACAAATATGAGAAATCATATAATGCCATAATAAAAAGAGATCTTATAGTACCATTGAGATTAACTGAAAGAAAGAAGCTGTTAGCATGAGCTTTTGTAGTTTATTTTCTTAGATGCATGGGGTAGAGGAAAGTAGACTTCAGTCTGCTTCCTTAGATGCATGGGATGGAGGAAGTAGACTGAAGTCTATGAAAGCTCATGCTAACATCTTCTTTCTTTTAGTCTCAAAGGTGTTACAAGATCCCTTTGCACACTGAATCCCCTTGTGGACACTGCTGTGTCTTTGAATAGAATCATAATGTAATCTTCAAAGTCTAGATGATCTCCCATTGATTTTCTATAGTGTTGATCTATGACATTTAAAAACAGCACCACTTAATGCACGTATGTGTTCACTTTTCCTGCAACTTCTTAACTCTTCAGGCCAATTCTACATTTGAAGAATTTGAGCGCATCCAACTATTTGCTAAATCTTGGAAAGAAGTGGGGCCTCAGGTGTGGTACTTCTTTCAGGACAGTGTGCAAATGAACATGGTCCGGGTATGTATTTACCTATTATTATGAAAAGAAAATTACAGGATGCTGATTTGTTGTGGGGAGTTAAATAGTCTTGACTCTTGAGTCACAAGACTAGAAAAAATGAGTTAGAGCCAGACTTAGTCATATTTGGGAATAAAATAATTAAAATAAATGGGACTTGTTAATTTTGCCTAAATTCAGTCAAATTGATTTCAGTGTGCATGCTTAAACTATGACTAAATCTGGATCTAATCCAATAAGTGGAAAGTGCAGGGAGACAGAATTCATCCCAACGATATGAAGATTTTCCTAACCACAAGCAATGTAGAGCAAACTATCACCATTCTTTTACCAGACATATTTAATCAGATGCTGGATGGGCATGTGACCTTCATGAGCAAGTGGAGCATCATTGATTACAAATGTTCTGATGAAGAAACACGTGACAACACAGGCTTAGCCTCTGAGTTGCTCTTTATATAAACTCGGTCAGGTAACTAGGCAGGAACTACAGTTTATTTCCTCCTCACTGGCATAGTAGTTTGCTGCCTTAATCAGAACAGACCACTGCCACTACTCCATTGCCAGACTGAGCTATTTATATAGCAGTGGTGGGCAAAGTGCAGGTCTCCAAGGCTACATTTTGTGGGCACCGACACACCCAACTTTGTTGGGTTATTTTTTTTTCAGGGGGGGAAAGAGGGGGTGAGTTGCCATTTCTGGAAACCTATAGGATTGGTGATTCATCTTTTGAATAGGTCACAGGGCCCCCTTGTTCAACATCGAAATATACCTGTTTTCCAAAACTTCTGACCATTTCTAGGTTTTTTATTTGTTTGTTTGTTGCAGAGTGTGTAAGGAGCTTATTGCTTGGAGGTTTAAATCAAATCAAGCCTCCCGGGCTGCAGGCGGGAGGTGGGATGGAGGCTGGTGCTTTTTAGAAATCACAATGCTTTCTGGTTTCCAAAAAGCACTGTCTGGGACCCAGGCTGATGGCGGCTAGTGATTTGGTGGCGATTTAGTATGTGATAATCCCTGCCTCCATCCATCCCACCTCCCGCCCGCAGCCCAGGAGGATTGATTTGAATTAAAACCCCATACAATAAGCTTCTAACTCTCTTGGGGCTGAGGTAGAAAATTAGCTGCTAACTCAGTCAAAGACTTTGTATAGCCAGGAACTGCCACCCTAGCCTTTGCTAGTGTATAATCTCAGGATTTTTTCTGGTATGGTACACTAAAACAAATCTCAAGTAGGCAGGACACTTTTTCATTGTTATGAAATCCAGTGTTTGGGAGCCAAGAAATAAATGCATGGGACACTTACCCTTACAAAATGGGACAACAAAATTGGAGCAAAGACTTCTCTATATAAGAATGAAGGAAAGGATTCTGTCAAGAGGTAAAAGAAAGAACTGGTGTTCTTTTTGAGCAATTTATTTGTTGTTGTGTGCTTTCAGTTTATTACTGACTTATGGCAACCCTAAGGTGACCCTATCTTGGAGTTTTCTTAGCAAGATTTATTTTGAGGGTTTTGCCTTTGCCTTCCTCGGAGGTTGACAGCAGCCCGGGAGACTTGCCCAAGGTCACCAGTGGGTTTCCGTGGCCCTGGTCTCCAGAGTCTATCCAAGGTTCAAACTACTACACCATACTAGCTCTTTAGCAGCTGATGCCAGTCAGGGTATGTGTCCCAAGTCCCCAGGGCAGGAGCAGGAAGAAGGTAAATGAGTAATAACACCTGGAAGATCTCTGAGTGATTTGCTATAGTTCAGCAGGGGTTTCTGACTCCTGCTTGGTTTGACAATACCAGTAATTAAAAAGCTCCCTCCCTTCCTGCTAAGTTAGGTTACTGAAAAGAATCTTTGATGGAGGGAGGGTGAAAAGTAGTTTTTTTAGTGGGATCACCATGAGTCGAGGTTCAACTCGGGGACAGTTAACAACAACAACAAAGTAGTTAATTGTTTGGAATTTCAGTATCAGTACTTCTGTTTTTCTTGTGGTACAGTAACCATGTTAACTAGATGCTGTGATGAATGTGAGGAGGTGAAGTACTAACAGGGCAAAAACTAAGTGTGGTGGGGATTGTGCTTAATGCACTGCCTGGACAGGTTATTTTTTGAGCTGCAGCTTCAAAAACACTTCAGTCTGTACATGACCAGTGTCCAAACTGACTATGGCATTCTAGGAACTGTATGTGAAGACTTTTTTTTAACCCTGCTACTGCCACCCAATATAGGGATCTCCACTTGTCCTCACTGCTATGGCAGTACATTTGAGGACCTCTAGATGTCTTTGTGAAACTTCGTTCTTATATTCTCACCACCACCCTTGAACCACTGCTTCCACCATAGAACCATGTGTCTCAACTCAACCAGTAACACTACTGTAGTGTTCCCAGAGGCCCAGGTGTATAATAGAAATATAACTTATTAAACATAAGTGCAACATATAGTTAAATATTACTTTTTTTAATGCCTCTAAATCCTAATTGACTCTACTAACACTTTCCCTGAGAGCCAGTTTGGTGTAGTGGCTTGAATGTTGAATTGGGAGTCTGGAGGTCAGGGTTCGATTCCCTGCTCAGCCATGGAAAGCTGCTAGGTAACCTTGGGCAAGTGACATACTCTCAGCCCCAGAAAACCCCAAGATAGGTTTGCCTTAGGGTCACCATATGTCAGAAATTATTTGAAAGCACACAACAACAACAACAACAACAACTTCCCTCTTTCTTCACAATCCTAGCCGAACCTAACTCTCTTGAGTCTAAGTAATCCCTATCTCTCCTCTTTCCTAACTTTCATATATGTTTGTGTGTATGTGCCTTCAAGTCACCTGTTGACTTGTGGTGATCCCATGTATTTTATACCATTTTCTTGGGCAAGGAATACTCAGAGGTAGTTTTGCCAGTTCCTTCTTCTGAAATATAGCCTAAAACACCTGGTATTCATTGGCAGTCTCCTACCCAAGTACTACCTAGACAGGATCTGGTGCCCTTAGGTATTTAGGCCCCTTAACTATCATACGCACCAGCCTTTTAAACATCCTATTAAACATTCAGCCAATCTCCAGACACTCCCAACATTCATACTCCCATCCCCTCTCAATAGATCACTTCCTTATTTCATTTATGATACATCACACACATAAACATACTTTACCATTATTTCTCTAATAAACACAAAAATATTTTCCCCTGAAAAGTCCCTAACATCACACTGTAGTTTAAAAAGTAGATTTTCTAAGCTCTGGTTTAATGCTTCCCATGTCAACTGATTTCTCACAGCTAATGTGCCCCCTCATGATTTTAATCACTTCCCCCTAGTTTGGCTGTGAAATTTGAAATGTGTGTAGTTATGGGCAAAATGGATTTGGGTAATGGCCTCTGAAAGGAACAGTCAGCAGGTGTGGGAGGGATCAAATAATTCCTTGGAATCCTTGTGAATTCATTTTATTGTAATAAAATTAAGATTTGGAAGGGCATATCTAACATATGACCTTGAGTTCCTCTCAGAGAGTCATCAAGGTTGTGATTTCCCTGGAGGACTGATCTAATATTGAGACCACATTTATACACATAGTTGCACACAAGTAAAATTAAACCTGATGTTTCCCCATAGGACACTTTGCAAAACCCTACAGTAAAAGGTTTCTTAAATGAGCAACTGAGTTCTGAAGGTTTTACTGCAGAAGATGTGATAAATTTTCTCTCCAATGCACCACCAGAGGAAAGAAATGAAGGCATGGTGAACTTTAATTGGATGAATATTTTCAATGTCACCAACCAAGTTCTGCATATAGTTCACCAGTACCTGGAGGTAAGACTAACGTCTTATTGTTCACTACAGAGAGGGATGTATTTCTTATTACTAATGTCCACTTATGATAGAGCTTGATGGATCCAGCAGCAAGTGTGGGGCTTTACCTTAGCAATAATGAACACAGACCACATTTTGTTGGAATGGTAAAGGCTGCTGCTGAATAGGCTTGTCCCACAACATGGGTCTGGATCCAAACATAAATTAACCTAATGGCAAGCTATCTGTCAATCAACCCACTTGCTAGTTGATGGAAACCCAATCATCCAGCCCACCTACTGGGTTGTCCTGGAATGACATACGCAAGAATCCAATTTGGGGGGGAGGGATTATGTTTTGGGATATATTGTATAGTTTTATTGTTGTAAGCTGCCCTGATTGGGTCCCCAAAGGGTGGGATATAAATAAATTTTATTATTATTATTATTATTATTATTATTATTATTATTATTATTATTATTATTATTATTTGGTGAAAACCACTCTGTGGTTCCCAACCACCTGGGAGTGAGGCAGAGTCATCTACCCACAATCTGGGCATAATCTAGTTGCCTACTCCCAGACTCACTTAAGGGAACACCTCATAATGAGCACAATTGACTCCATCTACTCCCAAACTGGATCTGCCGCCCCCCATTTTAAAATTGACCCAAAAGGATGATTGATGCCAACTGACTATTGGCATGGTGGTGAAAAAAATTTATGTGGTTCAGGAGTGAACCTGAGTTGAGCCTCTACTTGCTCATGAGCTCCTCTCTCTACCAGCTAACCAGTCTGCCTGTGACTGGCTGACCATCCTTTTCCATATCAGATCTCACAAAAACTTTGTGGACTTCTGGGAAAGAAAAAAAAGTGTTGGAACATGGAACATGGCAGCCATCCTTGCTTTGTCTGCATTTGCAACCCAAAGATTGGTAGTCCCAATGAGTTTGGAAATACATTTCCCAACAAGGTACCCTTAAGATTTGTTGCACTACAACTCCCATTTACCCAGCCAGTAGATATATTCCTGGAGAAGGAGATTCCAAAGATATGTGCCCACAACATTTAAATTTTAGGGGTGGGGGAACAAATTAAAATGAAAAGAATAAATGAAATTCTCCTACCATATCAATCTGGCTGTTTGGGAGGTTGGGTCTGATTTTGTAAAACATTTGGGACCACATATCATGCATATGTAGTTTGAGTCAGAGGCACCCTGGAAAAAAATAGATGAAAGTTAATTCTAGGAATAATTGTTGTTATGTGCCTTGAAATCACTTCCAACTTACGTCGACCCTAAGACAACCCTATAACAGGTTTTTCTGGGGCTGCGACTCACCAAGCAGGGAATTGAATCCTGATCTCCAGAGTCCTAGTCCAACACTCAAACCACTACACCACGCTGGCTCTCAATAATTAGTTAGCCTAAAGGGGTCCTCTTCCCCTGTAATTATGTAACTTTTCAACTCCCTAGCATTTTATGAAATGTAAAGGGTGGCTACAATAGTATTTTCAATGGAACATTTCCAATTGGGCATTGATCTTGTTTGTGTCTCATTAATGGAGCAAAAGGTGGACTTTTGGTTTGGAACCGGAGGAGAGTTGGAAAGAACAATGGGTGGAGGAATTCCCTGGGGTCTTTAAGGAACGGCCATGGCAGAGATTGATAATGCCCCATACCTTCTGATTGATGACCACAGGTGGGGCAGACTTCTCATGAATAATGGAGAAAGGGAATGCAGTGCATCTATTTGCAAGTCTCTGCTTATTGGTAAACCTGACACTCCCAGCACCTGTGCTCTCTTTTATTGGGTTTCTGCATTGCCAAGTTTCATAGCTCAGGGAAGTGTGCAAAAAGTGATCCACTGTCTTTAAAACTTATAATGACATACAGCAAATTCACACATGCACTAGCACCATATATCATAAGCATAAGCATGCATACACACACACACACACACACTGATATGTGAATTGTTTTTGTATGTGTTATTGAGGGAGAGTAGAACTTGAAATGTTTAATTAATCCATCTCATATCTGTATGTGTTTGGTCATTAATAATTGTGTGACAGTCACTTACTAAAATCTGAAGGCCACAGATCTTTCCACTTGATACACAGATCACACCTCATCATCAGACCATAAATACTAACCATTGTATAAATACTGAATATTTATTTTTCAAGTAGTTTCCAGTTAAAACACACAAGAATACTGAGGAGAGTTCTCATGTAAGCCCCATTCTGTCTTATAAATAAAACTCTAAATTGTTTATGGTGTCCTGTTTGTCAAGAGTGATGCTTTATTAAATAAATAAAAAGAAGGGTGCTTTTTTTCTGAAAGTTTCTTTCAGATTATTATCTGATTATTACTTCAGATTATTATCTGATTATTATTTCAGATTATTATGATGATGATTGGTCTCTGCCTAAAAAAACCCACTGTTTGGCTAATTTTCAAAACAAAAGAAGCAGTGGATTTGCGTTTCTTGATTACCAATCTTCTACATAATATGTAAGCTTCCATTCAATTTTTTCAAAACTCAGGAAATTCATGGAGCACAGTCAGGCTGTAATGGTGTGCCTAAAATAACTCTTTAGACTCCAGCTGCTGCTGCTGCTTGGCCTATCACTAAAATTATGCATTAACTACACTGCTATGATCAGGAAAATAACTTTTCTTTATAGAATAAAAACAGATTGGTGGAAGAAATTTTGGTTTTGGGATGGCCCAAAGGGAAGAAAACCTTTCTCCACAAAGTATCCAGCCAGATTGCTTTGTTTTTAAAACATACTGGGACAAATGCTCATGTGACTAATTATGACATGTAGTTTGACTCTTAGGTTCAATAATCAAATTGTACTTTCTGAGCATCTTCCTTATGTGCATCATCATCATTGTCATCATCATCCTAGTAATAAGGATCATCATTTTGTTCTTGCATCCATTTATATTTAATATTTTAAAGTACACATCATGAATAGGTCATGTAGCTTTGGTATTTTCTTCTAGGGTCAAGAATATCATCAGTTCAGTTTAGAGCAGGAATTTTATTTTTATGCAGAAGCACGTGTGTGTGTGTGTGTGTGTGTGTGTGTGTGTGTGTGTGTTTTCCCTTTGAGCAAAATGGCAAACATTTCTTAGTTTAGATGACAAAGCTAAACAAAGGAGACTTTACATTTCAGAGTAGACTGCCTGGTAAATAACACCTTGTCTGTGAGCACTTTGATGTACAGTAATTGTTGGTTGTTGGCTTGCAAGAGATCATCAAGGATGAAGTGAGGTAATTAAATACATTTCTTCCCAGTCAATTTAGGGACCAAATACCATCCACTCACTTACCAAGATGAAAACCTGATAACAGCTCCCTAATTTGGAAGTTAGGAAGCACCAGAAAGATACAAATATGTGATTATATGTTACCATAATCCTGGCCATGTCATTAATGCAGTTCCGAACTGCTTTCTCTGCAGTCATACAATGAAGAGCTTGGTTAAATGTTATTATATCAGTAGCTACAGTTACAGCTGTCTGTTGTAAAAAACTAATTTAGTTTAGTGGTTAAGACTGGATATAGTTAGATTTCCTAGTGTCGATCTAATCTCTTTTAGGAACTCATTGGGTAGGCTTGGATAAGTCATTCCACTTAACTAGTCCAGAACTACCTTGCACATAGGTTTTTGTGGGCTTTTCAGGCTGTGAGGCTGTATTCTAGAAGAATTTATTCCTGTTGTTTTGCCTATACCTGTGGCTGGCATCTTCAGAGATTTCTCTGAGGATGCCAGCCAC